AAAAAAAAATACGGGCAGAAGTGTGGCTCTCTTTGGGCGTGTAACAGACCAGCATTTCTTCTAGGAATATACAGAAGGAAGGTTGCCCAGGGCTTGGAACAGCACAACTGAGATATGGGACTAAAACCATGGCAGGATTTGGGAGGCAGAACGGCAGGGCACAGGAAGCCAGAGTGCACAATAGCCATTCAAGAGAATTTCATGAGCTTCAAAAATCCGCAACTGAATGCTGTAACCAGGTGATACTCCACATTCATACAAATGGTGCTCTGAAAGAGAGGAAACTTGAAGAGTGCTGGGGGGTCGTAGTTGCCTGAAAAGATAACCTTCAATGTACAATGTTTGGCAATATATTTGTGTTCCTTTTAGATGAGCCAAAGTTATAAAATGGTTGAAAAAATAAGCAAAGCTGTGTAGCAGAAAAATCAGGAAGCTAGGAGATTTATGGCTAACGGGTAAAAATGAAAGTAATTATCTAGGAAGGAAATGGGGAGAGGGAAAGAAGGGTAACCAAAAAAGTAGTAGTAAAAGGAGGGCAACAATTCTACAGAACTTGTGAAGTTTCACCAACAATTTACATTAGTATAAAGAAATTCTGGAGAAGTTAAGAATTTTTAAAATGAATAAAAACATATGTCCTGATCACCTCTAAAGGGACAGTTTTAGATGATAGGTGATAATTAAGGGTCAAGTAAAGATCAACAAAAAAACTGGTAATAAATATTTTTTACAAAAGGTAGCACAAGGAAGACAAAGAATATGCAATAGCAACAAATCTCCCTCATTCTGAAAATAAAATACCTAAGCTGAACTAATCTTCTCGAGAAAAAGAATGATGATGGCACAATAACCAAGTAAGGTCGTGGAGAAGTGAAGGTGATAGGGTTAAGGTTAACTTTGGAGAAGTGGGGCATGTTTTGTTTTCTGAGATTAAGGTCTGTATGAAAAAAATTGAAACAAAAAGGTTAATTGGGGAAACATCCAACTAGGTCATTAGCAGGTAAGAAGCCAGAATACAATCTTCAAGATAAGGGATAAGATTTTAATATACATTGGAAGTAAACAAATTAAAAATAGAATCAAAGTTAATGATCATGAATTGAGCTGTGGTTGAATCAAACAGTGTGGTAAGTCTGTAGTTGAGAAAGTTCAAAAAGGGAAATGGGATTAAGTCACAATTTGGCCTTTCTACCATGTGAACATGACTTATGATGTAAAGAATAGGACCCAAAACAAAGTAGCATTCAAAACATGACTATAAAGGTCAAGTTGACTGTGAAATTAAGTGGATGAGGTAGATTGGGAAAACGTCTAAAGTCCTGGGATAATGGACATTAAAAATTAAAGAATAGTACACATAATATTATGATGAGGCTGAGGTAAGGAAACACAGCCCTGGTGGTGCAGTGGTTTAAGAACTCAGCTACAAAACCACAGATCCTGAGTTCGAACTTACCAACTACCCCAGGACAGAAAGCTGTAGCAGTCTGCTTCTGTAAGATTTACAGCCATGGAAGCCTACTCTGTTCCATAGGATCACTAAGTTGGAATGACTCAATTGCAATAGATTTTTGTTTGTTGAATAATTTAGAGGTCAATGTGAAGTGCTGGAACTAATTAAGTCAAGGTTTCACAAGGTTAAGATAATCAAGCTGTCACAAAAGGAAATGAAACTGTGGGCCATTGCAGAAACCATCCAGAAAGATGGGAGAATCCTTGCAAGTGATGGTCAATTATGACTAGAGGTTGTGTTATGATTTGCATGGAAGTCATTTTACATAGTTTTACCTTATTTATTTTTTAATGAAACAAGCCCACTGCAAATTATCAACTTGTCAGTTTTATCTGAACAACTTTTGACTTCCAAAAAAAGAACAGTCTACCCCAAAGGAACAGCAGTCAGCCCTACTAAAGAGATCCAAATGAAAGCAATGTGAGCCTTGAAGGTGTTTCCTAGGAGAGAGTAAATGGCAGATGTTCCATTAACATAAGGTGAATGAAACGAATGAAAAAGAATTCCAACAGTGCCAGCAGGACTGGATTAGTTTCTCATTTTACTGAGCAAATTCAAGTATTTGGTTAGATGGATGGATGGATGGATGGATGATGGATGAGCAAAAGCACTGGACTAACAGCAAAGAGAAATGGGCACACCAAAAATTCCTAGCATCACTGAATACCAAAGAATTTTTCAAAATGATTTCTTTGGAGAATAACTTTTCTAAGACTACATGTTGACTATATTAACACACTTCAAAAATTATTTTTGAAAATAATCACTTTGAAATACCTATATGAAAAAAGTTCATACAGAAAAACTATTTCCCTTATGAACCTATCAATCTTTTATTAGTCTAACTATTCTTACAACTCTAAAGAGCTAGGAAATATATAGTATCATGAGTTTTAGCACTCTCAAGTGACACTATGTTGGAAAATAGCATCAAGAAAATTTCTTGAAGTTCCCTATTGCTGGACCCTTTCTGTTTCTTGAAGAGATTAACTACATTCTAATACGATGACTCTGTTTTCAAAAAACAATCTTTCTGAACCATACTATTAATTGGAAGCTTAAACGTTTAACTCATCTTACCTCATCATATGATTTACATATGCTTTGCTACAGCTAGTGTTGTATCTGCAAAAACTACAGTGGACATATGTAGGAAAGTGGTTTGCAAAATCTTTTATTTCAGAAGAACACTCAATGCACTCGTGAACTCCCCGACGATACCTTTTGGAGACACAAAGAAAATGATAAAATATATTTTAAAACAAAAATGATAAGGGACACTCTTCTTATGTTCTATTAATTAAAGTCATAGTGTTTAATTCACTATCTCCAAACAAACTTATTTGAAAATCTGCTATGAACAAACTAAAATCAGTGTAAAAATTCTAACACCAGAAAATGTTAAAAAGGGTTCGAAGTTAATCAAGTCAAGCACCACATATACAAGCACAAAACACATATAACAATGCAACAAATGAAGATCAAAAAAATAAACACAGTAACTCAAGCACAGTTCAGCAGTTGAAAAAAATACCTTTTTATTATTTGCTTGGCCTTTATGCCAGATAATTAACAGTGTGTGAATGTACAGAATTGTGATTGCATAAATTTGCATTTAAAAAGTTTTTACTTGTAAGATTAAATTAGTATTGCATATCAAGAGTAAAAGTGATTACCTTAAATTCCTCAATGCTGTATTGACTTTACTTTTTTTATTGCTACTAGCCAATGTGTTTTGTTTCTTTTGCACATTAGAAATTTTTGGTTTGCATTTAGATTTACTTCCATTAGGTTTACTTGCATTGAATTTAGTTGCACTAGGTTTATTTATAATAGATTTTGTGGGATTCTTAGCAGTTAAATTTTTAGTCCTTGCTGGTGAGAGCTGAAGGGTAGAAGTGCTTGCACTAATAGAAGGTGTAAATGACGATCCTGATGGAGGAGCTCCAACTGAAGCCCGAATAGTAACCTAAAAAAATGAAGATAATATTTGCTTTAAAAAGTTAAACATTCCATTAGTATTAAAAGTATCACTGTAATACAAAAAAGTTAAGCAAGTATTTTGAAAAGAACAAACTACAACAAAATAAACCCTCTATTCTATATTTTCATACCAATTAAATAAAATGAAGTATATTTATTCATTGTATTACAGTTTTATATTGCTAAAAGTTATATGTTAACACAAGAAATTAATGGACAATTAGGAGTTAAAATTATATGAATATCCAAAGAGCTTATTCCATAGCTATTTTTATGCTGTAACTAAAATTCACAAATATTTATTTTAAAATTTAAATCTCAAAATCTGAAAAATATCTTTGGAAAGACCTGTCGTACCCTTTAGTAACTAAAAAACAAACAATAAATATGCTCTCTTCCCAGGGTTTATTGGGCAGATGGGAGAGGTTACATCAATTCATCATACAACATGGAATTTAATAATATTCAGAAATTCCTTAAAGGAAATTAATATATAATTTGTTATTTAGTATTTCAAAGGGAAAAAAAGTTTTATTATATTTGCTAGTTAACAATGGGAAATACAATTGCCTACCAACATTCTCAAAAACCATTTGACTATACTCCCACAATGTATCTAAGAAGCAGCCTATGAGGAAACCTGTGAAATAGATGTGCTTTGATATCATACAAAAATACTGGACTAGGATACAAAAGACCTGTAGTTGGATCTCATAGTACCTCTACCCAGCCATATGATCTTTGAATATATAACCCTCTAAACCTCCTCTTAATAAAATGGAAACAACATGGGTTTTATGACCCTCACTGGATTGCTGTATGAAATCAATAATAGAATGTATGAAAAAGCACACTGAAAGCCTAATTCCAAAGAGCTATAAACATTTAGTATAATATTAATATTATTAATAAGGGAAGATATGAGAGAGGACTGCACTGCTTACATTAGTATTCTGCATGTCTAGTCCAGCATGGAATGAATGGATAACTTCTCTCGCTCTAGGTCTTCAGAGCATGGCTTTATAGTGTTTTAGTTAATTCAAATAACAGACATACCCACATTCAAAGGTAAGTACCCAAAGCCAAATATAAATGCTTTGGGGATTATTGCACTTTGGATTATCCATGCCTCTGTTTCCCTCCACTGGAGCAAATATTCAAGAGCTGACTGTATATAAAGAAGTCAGAGAAAACAGATTTTCATAAGGCAAACAGGGAAAAGAAAATTGCAATCATCAGTATGCAGTCAGACATGTGTTTGCTCACTCTAACACAATGCTATGTAGCAGAAGAACTTGCATTTCTGAGCGTAGACTAAGTAACACCAATTTCAGCAAACAGCTGAGAGTCTGTGGCATATACATGGCATATCCATAATGGGATACGAACAGACAAAACATAACTTTGGTCCCAAACCCCTTATAGTCTAGGAGCTAAGACAGACAATATATACTGCCAATAAAAATAGCCTACAGACTATTGAAACAACCCATAAACCCAGGCAAGTTAATCTACACGCACTTCATACAAAGAAATACTACTCCAATGTACGACACACCACTGCACTCAAAACAGTGGTTAAGGGATTTTTCTTTCTAAGCCTAAAGATGATAAAACCTAGACTAAATTAATAATCATTGTCAACTTTTACAATACCATACTCAAAATAAAAGATCCAGTAGGAGTTAATTTCTATTGTCATACAAAAAGTTCAAATACAACATATTTAAAACTCACTTTTGTCCCAGGAGGCAATCCTTCTAGTTGTTTAGGCTTTATAAATGTTCGATGATGCTGAGTCTTGTGATCCATTTTCTCTTTGCCTGTCAAAAATTGCAGCCTGCATTTTGTGCAACGATGTATTCCCTTTTTCTATTTGGAAAACAAAACAAAAAACGGGGAAATTTCTACAATCACAAATCCTATACTTGAATCTTCTCTGACTTAATTTTAAAGACAAAAAAATAATTTAAAAACTAATATACTTTGCCCTTCTCATCATAAATAATACCAAAATATTGCATTATATTAAAAAAAAACCACTTTTTGCCTTAGTATTTGGGTTTAAAACTATTACCATATAGGAATCAAGTATAAAGTTTTATCCATAGGTTCAACAAAGTTCTATCAATTGTATGAAGTATTCAAAAATATGACATTATGAAAATAAACTATTATTGCTAGTGTTAGTTACTGTCAAATCAATTCTAACTCACAGTGACCTCATCTGACAAAGAAAATTGCCTTATAGGGTTTTCTTGGCTATAATCTTTAATGAGGCAATGGTCGTGTCTTTCTCTCAAAGTAGCTGGGGAAGTTCAGACCACCAACCTTTCTTTTTGGTAAGCTTAAACATTGCACCACCAAGACTCGTTGAATATAAGTTTTGTTTTTATTCTATAAAAGTAAATTATTTAACCTCTGCTATTTTCCGTCCTGAGATAAAAGAGATGCATCTACTATTCCCCTAACTGGACTCAAGTCTTATATATCACTGGTGAGTATATTCATTTCCATGTGCTAAAGCTGATGACTGTAACACAATATTCTGTGGTTGTCAGATAGCTGTGAGTACGCCCCCAATTAATGAAGAAAAGCCACCTATAGAACCAAATGAAATACCACCTGATCCTATGCTATCCCCATGGCCAACTGCAGCATCAGATTGCTGGGATTTACAGGATCTTCGTTAGCTGATTCTTCTAAATGGATTACATAGCCATTTCCCCTAGCCCATCTTAGTGTGGAAGCTCTGCTAAAACCTGGTCATTATCAGAACGACTTTCAAGCCTCCAATGACAGAAGGGTGGTGGCTATACACTGGCCTGGAATTGACACCGGGTCTCCCACATGCAATTCCACCACCAAGTCACCAAAGTACCACAAACACATATTTGCTTTGTTCCTTCATCTATATATAGATATAATAAACGTGCTTGTTTATTAGGGTAGTTATAAGGATTTAAAAAGATAACACATATAAAGCAATAGTGGCTCCCTTAAAGCAAGTGATTTATACTGACTGATTTTAATAACAACCTAATTAGTAATTAACACAAATGAAGTTACTTTCATAATTCCTTCAAAAAGTCATACAAACTGGGTGTTATCTCTAAAATCATCTGAAGAGATGTAATATATTCTATAGTAAGAAAAAGTTACAACTGAAGTCCTCAAAGATAATAAAATGCGATGCAGATACAATTTTTATTTTCTAATACCATACTGAAAATGTCAATTACAAGTTGATAATCTTGCTCAGCCATGTTTTTCTAAGCCAATTAAAAAAAAAAATGTCATTGAGATGGCTCCGATTCCTGCCAATTAAATGTGATTCAGAACAAAGTTTACAATGGCTGATTTTTGGAAATTTGGAGAGTTCCAAGTTTTCTTCCATGGGACCTCTGAGTGGGCTAAAAAACACCACTCTCAGGTTAGCAGCGGAGTATATTACTATATACACACCATCCAGTTATTATATATGCCATCCAGTCTTCTGTAAATAATTATGCTAATTGTAACTACCCTGAAGGAAGCCTGATGTTCTCCTTTATTAATAGCCCAGCCCTTTATTGTTGGATGTCTACTTCTTAGTTACTCCAAACAAACAAAAATTAAACTGGGAACCCATAGCAAGTTAAAACATACAACTCAGAATATGAAGACTAACGGTAGATCATGTAGTCCACATGGCAGATGTATACATTTCTTTCACACTAACACTGGGCTTCTAAAAATTATGTAGTAGACGTGGCAGAAGTCACCCAAGAAACACTGAAGTGTAACTTAAGTTGTGTAGTCTGTGAGGGTTCACATACCAGTGATAAGTATAACTAGGCTTTTCTTTGTTACTGGCACCTATAAAACATCATACTGAGAAGATTGTGACAGTCACATGTTTTCTCATCATAATCCCAGAATCAGAAAGTGAAATAAAGTTTGAAAAGAAAGGAAAACAAATTAGGAATTTTCAATCTTATCTTTCTGAGTACAAATATCTCTCTTCCTCTGCTCTTCATTACTACCTTAAAGAACATTCTTTTACTTGCTCTGGGATCTGAAAACCTTTTGGATATTCCTTTTTTCCCCTCTCAACCCCTGGGTTCCTATCTCAACCTATGTTTCCAAACACTTATTACTTATAATTATACTTCAACAGAAAATAACTATGGAAAAGAACTGGATGTTTCACAAGTAATTTAGCGTAACTGAAAATTAATTTTGTTCTATAGAACTTTACTTCCTTCTCAGAAAAATAAATAAATGGTCTCCTTTATAGTCAATCTTTGCTAAGACAAAGTAAAAAAACAAAAACTGGTAAATCTCACCTGGTGCTTCATGTAATGGTGCATGTAAGGTGTTGCAATTTTAATAACTTTGAGGCAAAATGGACATAGCAAGTTTTTAGTGTTTTCATGGGATGTTCTAAAATGAATTTCCACATCAGAAAATGATGATGATCTATAATTGCACACCTAGGAATATAAAGAAAGCTTAGTTTAAATTGAAAATATGCAACTGATAATGCAACTACAAAGTAGCAGTGTTGGGTCATTTGTTTAGAATGTTAATATAGCTAATTCAGCTCTGATGCCTAAACCACCAAGGACACTATAAGCAACACAGGATAATAAGAGACCGAAGCATACCTTTCAAGCTTCAGGAATGGTTTCCCAAACATAACTAAATTCCCTTTTCTTCAGATTGACATCTCTTGTGATAACAATTTTAAAGCTCTAACAATTGTTGGCCTATCAACTTTTTTTCTGCTCATAAAACACCACAATCTGTTTTCGATTTCAAATGGCCTTCAGGTCAAGGCAGCAACAATTTGTCTTTATCTTGCTTTCTTATACCTTCAAATTATGAAAATATACTAGTCCCAAAATACAGAGTTGGGTGCTCTTTAACTAACAGAATCTACTTCCTGGGTACCACAACTCAATCAGTTGCTTGTTCTGTGGTGACTAGCATATTGCTGTGATGCTAGCATTGATATTTCAAGCACCATCAGGGTTACCCAGGGAAGACGGGTTTTAGTAAGCCTTCTAAATTGTGAAAGACTAGGAAGAAATAATTGGTAATAAACTTAAGTTAATTGGTCAATGAAAACCTTAAAACAGCAGAACACTGTCTAATACAGTGTCAGAAAATGAACCCCTCAAGCATGAAGTCACCCAAAACATGACTGGGGAACAGCTGCCTCCTCAAAGTGAAGTGACCCTAATGACACAAAAGGACCTTCATGCAGCTGGCATGCACACTCAAAATGAGAAGCTGCTGCTGCAAACATCCATTAAGAATCAGAACATGAAATGTAACAGGAATGAAATAAGAATAATTGGAAGTTGACATAATAAGAGTAAATGATCAATAGCCTAGGAATTAGTGACCTGAAATCCTTGGGATTGGCCATTTCAAATAAGAAAATATTATGGTCTACTATGCTGAGAATAGCAAATTTAGCATGAGCATTCATCATTAAAGGGAGTATGTCAAGATCTATCGTGAAATACAATGCTTCCCTACAAGGAAGACCAGTTAAAACAACTATTACTCTAATTTACATGCCAATCACTAAAGCCAAACATGAAGAAATTGAAGATTTTCACTAACTTCTGTAGTCTGAAATTGATCAAGCATACAATTAAGATGCACCTATAATTAATTACTGGTGATATGAACGTAAACACTGGAAACCAAGAAGGAGAAACAGTAGCTGGAAAATATGGCCTTGAAGATAGATAGACCAATGACAGTATGACAGGGTTCTGCAAAGCAATGCAAGACTCAAGAACAATGACTTACTCAATGGAAATACAGGCATAATTCGTCTAATTGCAATTCACTTCAGAGCTTTGAAGATACTGCATTTACAAATTGTTATTTTACAAATTGAAGGTTTGTGGTAGCCTTTCATTAAGCAAGTTTATTGGCATCAATTTCCGAACCACATGTTATCACTTCTTGTCTCTGGCATATTTTGGTAATCCTCACAATATTGTAAACTTTCCCATAATGCTATTAAACACATAAATGGACTACAGTATACTGTATACATCACTTTTATAGGCACTAGTCACTGCCATCTTGGGAGTAAGAGGATTTCTATTCCCATAAAAAAGTTAGTCTTAGGAACTGTGGTAATTACATAATCTGGTGGCAACATGCGGATCTATGGTAGTTAATTAATCTGGTATGAATTTGCAGAGGGGTGGAGTCTAGTCTGTCAATCAGGTCACAGCTTGATGACCTCATTTAGAGGCATCACAGATATAAATAGCTCACTGGAGGCCAGATACACACCGACTCTGTTTTGTCTTCCTGCGACAAGCCAGATGTGCTATGTTGATGGAGCCAGCGCCCTGGTGCTGGAGGAGTCATGTGGAGACCCCTGCCAATGCTGCAAGACTTCTACCACCACTGGATCCACAAGACTTTCCACCCACTGGCCTGCGATCTTTCTTCCTGCATTCACTATTGCATGTGCTGTGTGAGGCTGAAGAACAATTTATAGACTGTTAACGGATATATGGGCTAATATCGGATTTATGGATTTGACCTGGACTGAGCTGGGATGTTTTCTCAATATACAATTGCTCTTTTATATAAGGCTCTTTCTTATACACATGAGTATCTATGCATTTCTTTCTCTAGTCTACCCAGACTAACACAGAAACCCACAGTGGCAGTTCTCCTCTGTCTTATAGGGTTGCTATGAATTGGCATCAACTCGATCGCAGTGAGAGGCAGAGAATGGAGACTCACTGCCATCAAGTTGATTCCAATACAAAAAAAACCCAAAAGTTGATTCCAATACATATTGACCCTGTAAATCTTAATAAGAACTGATATCCCTCCCATCTTATTCCCACTTATAGCCACAAGAAAAAGAAAAATTTGTGTGACTTGTTTTGTTGCAATATTTGTTTTATTGCAATGGCTGGACCCAAACTCACAATATCTGTGATATAGATCTGTAACTTTTTACAACATAAATGGTGACTATAAAGGCCAACTATAAACATGACCTCACAAGAAGAAATGCACAGGAATCAAACTGACTACATCTGGGTAAAGAGATGACGAAACAGCTCAGTATCATGAGTCACATCAAGGCCAGGGGCCCAGTGCAGAACAATTTCTCTTATGCAAGTTAAAACTGAAGGTGAAGAAAACAAAAACAAGTCCTCAAGAGCTGGTGTATAACTGACTATATTCCACCTAAGTTTGTAGACCATCTCAAGAACGTCTTAGATGCACTGAAAACTAAAGACTGGAGACATATTGTAAGTTGTAGGATGACATCAAAGACACATAACACACGAAGAAACAAAAGATTGTTAAAAAGACGGCAAAGAAAGAAAAGACCAAAACGGATGTCAGAAGAAACACTGAGACCTGCTCTTAAACATAAACTAGCTAAAGCAATGATGGAATTAAAGAGCTGTACAGAAAAATTTCAAAGGGTGGCTCAAGTGAAAAATCAGGTATTACACAGAAATGTACAAATACCTGAAGAACAACAGAAACCAGAGGGGAAGGGAGACAGAAGTCAGGGTGTGAAATATGAAAATAAGAACAATGTATAATCTATCAAGGGGCCATGAGGGTGGTGGGGTTGGGAGGGGAAAAAAGGGGAGCTGATCCCAAGGGCTCAATAGAAAGAAAATGTCTAGAAAAGACCAATGGCAATATATATACAAATGTGTCTGATACAAATGATGTATGGATTTTAACAATAGTTTTATTAGCCCCCAATAAAATGATCTTAAAAATAAATAGATGTACAAATAAGTGAAAAATCAGGTATTACAAAGAAATGTGTAAATAATTGAGTCAGAAACCCAAATAGAAAGAAGAAATTCCATATTTTTCAAGCTGAAAAAACAGAAGGAAAAATGCAATCCCTCCTAAGTTGAAATACAGAAGGAGTCTATGGGCAAAATACTAAAAGTACTAAGTATCAAAGAAGATGAAGAATGAACATAATCACTGTACCAAAAAAAAATTGGTTGACATCAACCACATCAGGAAGTAGCAGCATAAGTTCAAGAACCACTGGTACTGAAGGAAGGCATGTAAGCGGCACTGAAGGCATCAGATAAAAATAATGGTCCAAGTACTGACAGAATTCCAATTGAGATGCTCCAATTAATGGGAACAACACTGAAAGCACTTACTTATCTATAACAAGAAATTTGGCCAACCAACTGGAAGAAATCCATATATGTACCTACTTGGAGGGAGGTGATCCCACAGAATGAGGAAATTATCGAACAGTAGCATTAACATCAAAACCAAAAAACTAAACTCACTGCCATTGAGCTGATACCAACTTATAGCAACCCTGTAGGACAGGGAAGAACTGCCCCGGTGAGTTTCTTTCGTAGCCAGTATCTGTTTACAGGAGTGAAAAGCCCGTCTTTCTCCCTAGGGGCAGCTGGTGGTTTGGACAGCTGACCTTGTGGATTTCAGCCCAAGCGTATATCACTTCAAGTTAAGTTTTACTGAAGATAATTCATTAGTAGTTGCCATAGTATATGAACAGGCAAATGCCAGAAATTGACACCAGATTCAGAAAAGGTCATGGAAAGAGCCGTGTTATTTCTGGTACAGATGGATCTTGGCCAAAAGCAGAAAATATTGAAATTAAAAGGTATTTCCCTGTGTTTCCTCGACAATGCAAAGGCATTAGACTGTGTGCATCAGAAGACACTATGGCTAAAACTGAAGAAGGAAAAAAAGGAAAAAAATATATATAATATTTCATGAAGCTTTAAATTCAAATTTCAGTATCTATAAATTAAGGTTTTATTGGAATAATCATAGTCATTCATTCATTTATTGTCCGTAGCTATCATTGTATTGAAATGGCAGAGCTCAATAGGTCCAATAGAGAATCCATGACCCTCATAACCTAAAATACCTATTATCTCATCATTAACATAAAACATTTGTTGACTCACCCTTCACATCTAACAGGTTTAAAGCTTATAACTACTACTAAATAAACAAACAAACAAACATTTAAACATACAATAAAATGTGTGTACCTGGCAAATATATGGCATTTCACCGGGTTTATGATTGTCCTTCATATGTTGTAAAAGAACATGTTCTGTTTCAAATGATAATTCACAGATTTTACAAATAGCTAAAAGTGTGGGGAGGGAAGGGAAAGACATTACACTATTTAAAAATGAATATTTACATATGCATAAATTCATTTGACACATCCATATCAACAACAGCAATAACATTGTAGTAGTAGTACTCAGTAGGTAGATGAACTGTTAGTTCCAGGCCAAGCAGAGTTTCAAGTACTTTACTTACATTAACTCACTAATTCGTCTAATAAGACTATGAGGAGGGTCCTTTTGTTGTACCAGTATTCAATTATTAAGTAGTTTGCCTGAGATCATAAAGCTGTGGTAAAATATAGCAGTGGGATTTGAGCACAAGCTTTCTAGTGCCAGAATCTGTCATTTTAACTACCATAGATACGCGAGTATAAGCCAACCAGAATATCAGCTGAGGCACCTAATTTTACCACAAAAACTGCATTAAATATGGTCTGAAAAACTCGGCTTATACTCGAGTATATGCGGTACCTTTTATGTTATTTTGCTTATTGATGTTAACATGAAACATGATGTTAACATGATTTCACATTTGAAATCAAGGAGTGTGAGGGTTCTATTTTAGCCACCCACATACAATGCAAAGGGGAGGTCAATGGTGTCTCCCATATTGACAGGAGGCACTTAAATTTCAGAAACTTCAGGTAGTCCAGAATTATAAACAAATTCAGTTCCTAAATCTGCCTGGAAGTGAAATTAGATGTAAATTGGAACAAGTACTGTTTGTATGTAACAACATTTAGTCAAATAGCTCAGTATATAGTATAATTTATGAATAAAAATAAATAACATACATTATAACCTCTCTAACACAGGAATAATAATAATGTCTTGGTGCACAACGCAAAGTACTGCCCTTTTTTACAGAAACCACTGCACGCAATTCAAATTTTTACTATTTTTGTACTCCAATGCCATGTCTATTTCTTATTTGTATTTTCTATCAAGTTCCTTAAGGTTTTCTCTCAATTCAGATTATTAAAATAAATAACATGCAGTATTAAAATCAACTTGTAACTTACTAGAAAATTCATGGGGGGTGTGTGTACTTTCGATGTGACACTGCAGCTGAAATGGTGTGGGAAACTGGCGGTAGCAGTGCTGGCAGGTGGTGTGGTTTTCCCAGCTCTCGCTGCTCTGCTTCTCAAGCTCCAAATGGTGTTTCATGTGGTTCATAAACCTATAAATGATTGACAACAGGTGCAAAAATTGATGTTTAAAAACAAAATAATCTCACACACAGGTATCTTAACCCAAAAATAAAGATATGATTGTATTACAAAACATTCTCCAGCTCCTTAAAACCCTTTAAAAAGTGTGGCTTTAATTGTATTTGGTAAGTGGTTTAGTATACTAACATTTTTTCTTTTATTCATTGTTCTAAAATGAATTAATGTAGTTAATCAGAATATCACTAATTTGCTCTAGCTCTTATATTACTATGTTGTTGTTGTTAGGTGCCTTGATTCATTTCCAACTCATAGTAACCCTATGTACAAAAGAACAAAACACTGCGAAGCACTGCGGGTCTAGCACCATGCTCACAACTGATATGTTCGAACCCATCATGGCAGCCACTGGGTCAACCCATCTTGTCGAGGATCTTCCTATTTTTCCGTCTCTCTACTTTACCAAGCATGATGTCCTTCATCAGGGATTAGTCTCTCCTGATAATACGTCCAAAATTCATGAGACCAAGTCTCATCACCCATGCCTAAGGAGCATTCGAGCTGTACTTCTAAGACAGATCAGCTTGTCCTTTGTCCATGATACCTTCAATATTCTTCACCAGCACCATCATTCAAATGCATCAATTCTTCTTCAGTCTTCCTTATTCCGTGTCCAACTTTCACACACGAGAAATTGAAAATAGCATGGCTTGGTGAGGTGCACTTTAGTCCTCAAGTAATACCCTTTCTCGTTAAAACGTTAAAGCGGACTTGTGCAGCAGACCTATCCAACCCAATGTGTCACTTGATTTCTTGATTACTGCTCCGTGAGTATTGTCAAACACAAAATCTTTAACGACTTCATTTTCCCCTTCATTTATCATGATGCGTGCTCGCTTCGGCAGCACATATACATTTATCATGATGCAACTTTACTGGTTCAGTTATGAGGACTTTGGCTTGCTTTACATTAAGCTGTAATCCATACTGAAGACTGAAAACTTGGATCCTCATCAGCATGTGCTCCAATTCGTCCTCACTTTCAGCAGGCCAGCTTGTGTCATCTGTGTGCAGCAGATTGTTAATAAGCCTTCCTCCAATCCTGATGCCAAATTCTTCTTTGTATAATCCAGCTTCTCTGGTTATTTGCTCAGCATACAGATTGAACAAATATGGTGAGAAGATACCACCCTGAAGCACACTCTCCTTGGTTTTAAAACATGCAGCAGTCCCTTGTTCTGTTCACACAACTGCCTCTTGTTCCAGGTACAGATTCTGCATAGGCACCACAAAGTATTCTGGAATTCCCATCCTTCGCAAGGTTAGCCGTATATTATTATGCCTTTGTATAGGAAATAAAACACAAGTAAACATCTTTCTGGTATTCTCTGTCTTCAGCGAAGATCCATTTGCAGAGGCATCAGTCAAGGATATCCCTTTTCCACGTCCTCTTCTGAAACAGATCTGAATTTCTGGCAGTTCTCTGCCAACAGTTGTTGACTGACCTTTAGCACAGTTTTACTTGCATGGGAAATAAATGATATTATTTTACACTTTGAGCATCTTTGGAATGGGTACAAATGTGGATATCTTCCAGTCACTTGGCCAAGTAGCTGTCTACTAAGTAACTGTCTTAGCATAGAAGAGTGTTTTCAGTGCTTTATCCGCTTATTGAAATATTTCAATAGGTAGTCCATCAGTTTTCTAGAGCTTGTTTTTGCCTAATGACATCACTACAGCTTGGACTTCTTCCTTCGGTACCACTTTTTTGGTTTGTTTTTTAGAAAAGGCTACCTCTTGAAATGGTTGAATGTTGACTAATTCTTTTTGGTACAGTGACTCGGTGTCGTGTAGTCTTTCCATCTTCTTTTGATAGTTCCTGCACTTTTCCCTGCATATTTTGATAGTTCTTGCATGTTTTGCCCATAGAATGTTGTCTTCAAAACGATTTCATTGGGAATTCATACAGATATATCATTCCATAGTTCAATCATATCAAGCAGTACTGTAGAATTGGTACTATAATCAGATTCAGAATTACTTTCCTTCTTTAACTCCTTGACATCAGCTCCCTTTAACACGCTCTGGCCCCCACCACACACACACACACACACACACACACACACACACACACACCTCGCCAGAAATCCTTATTCTCCTTACTGTCCCTATAGGTTCATCAATCCTGGGTTTCATATTCTGAAAAACAAAAAAACATGTAACAAAAATTCAAGACAGTGACCCCTAATGACACAATACATGAGATAAACCCCAATATGAATAAACAAAAAAAACACAGAAAAAGTTTCAATCTTCCAACATGTGACACATTTTTCTTTTCTTCACTTCAGCTGATCGTGTTCTTCCTTTTTGGTTTTCTACGTTTCATTATATTATTTTACTTTGTCTTTTCAAGCTGCCCTTTGAAACTTTCTGTTCGGCTCCTTTATTTCATGATTTCTTCCATTTGCCTTAGTTCTTCCATGATTAAGAGCAAATTTCAGAGTCTTTTCTGACAATCACTTTGATCTTTTTATCTTATCCTTTTAATGACCTTTGTTTTTTTGTGTGTATGATGTTTTTGATGTCATCCCACATATCATCAGGTCTTCTGTCATTAGTGTTCAATACATCAAATCTGTTCTTGAGATGTTCAACCTGAACTTGTGTATGAGTAGTTGAAGGTCTGTCCCAAGTTGGCCACTGGCCTCAATTTAGCTTTTGATGAGCCTCTTCTTCTCTTTCCACAGATATAATCAATTTTATTCCCATGTATTCCATTTGGAGAAATCCATGTGTATAGTCACTTTTTGTGTTGTTTAAAAAAATGTATTTGTGATGGTCATTGGTCCTATAAAATTCTATCATGCGATCTGTAGCTTTGCTTCTATATCACCAAGGCCATATATTCCATCTACTGTTTCTTTGTCTTTGTTTCCAAAGAAGATATAAATGAAACTGTTCTACAACTTGAGCATTTCTTTGGAATGGGTACAAATATGAATCTCTTCCAGGCACTTGGTCAAATAGCTGTCTTCCAAGTAGCTTTCTTAGTTGAAAGCTAAGAACGTTTGTTTCCAACTTCTGCATTCTAATCAGGCTGAAGATGGTAACCTTTTTGTTTATTCATCATTAACGTTAGTGATTAATACATAAATCTTATATTTTCCCATCACAGCCGGCACTGTACGTTAAGATAGATTTTGAGATGTCCTATTTGATGATGAATATGTCACCCTTCCTTCTGAACGTGTCATTCCCAACCTAATGCATCATAAGACTGTCTGATTCAAAATGGCCAATACCAGTCCATTTCAGTTCATATTCTGAGTTGCTTTCCAACCTAGGGGGGTCATCTTCTGGCTCTATATCTGACAATGTTTTGCTGCTACTGATGAGGCTTTTCAGTATCTGACAACGTTTCACTGTTATACCCAAGGGTTCAGTGGCTAATTCTTCAGAAGTAGACAACCGATTTCTTCCTGGTAGTTTGCTCTTAGTCTGGAAGCTCTGTGTAAATCTGTCCACTTTGAGTTATTCTGCTGGTATTTGCAATACCAGTGATATGGTTTCCAGCATCACAGAAATATGCAAGCCACTACAATACATCAAATTGACAGACAAGTGATGGGTTACTATATTATTGATCTAATAAATATTTCAGATTATTAAACTTTTTTATGGTTTCTTACTTCGTTATTATTGGGTTTTTTTTGTAAAGACATACCAGTATTTTTCTTTTTCATACAAAAAATACTATTTATATTTAAATTTTTTTTAATTGAAAGGAAGAAAACCCTACAACCAACAGCAGTTACAGAATCACAAGAGAAATATTTTAAGGCCTTGGTTCTAGCTGCTTAAAAGACAAATTACCAGTATTTCTATTTGTGTCTTGGTTTCTAAATGCACGCAAAAGCAATTTTAATGCCTACAATTACAATAACCTTTTGTTTCATTTCATGCTACTGGCTTACTGTTCAGTTTAACTCGCAGACTGTGCCCTTTGTAGGCAATGTCCATTTTTCAGCTTTACATTCTGCTATTTCAGCTTCCCTAAAAGCCTTCTTACGCGAAGGAACTATGACCTTCCGTGGCAGAGAGTGCACTATAAAATGGAATACCCATTTAAAAGGACATACTGAAGCATTTTACTGAACTTGAAAGTAAAGCTATTTTATGAAAACAATTTTTAGACTAGGTCAACTATAAACAATACTTCATTTTGAGTCATGGAGGGGAATAATCTTAAAACTAAGTGATAATCTCATCAATATGGCTACCAATCATCAAAAAGCTTGTCACACTTATTTCCCTTTCAGGTGTCAGTGGCCAGTTGACACCAAGTCACTTCCAGCTACTGGCAAACTCAGTGTGTTAAAGTAAAACTGTGCCCCATGGGCTTTTCCATGGTTCATGCTTTGGAAATAGACTGTCGAGCCTTCTTCTGAGGCACTCGAGTGGACTCAAATCTCCAACTTTTCAGTTTGTAGCCGAGCATGTTAGCCATTTGTACCCTCCAAGGACTCCATAGAAAATCTTAGTCTTGGTTAAATGCTTGTGTACAAGGAAAAGACCCATGAGCCATTAAACTTAGAACTCGCACAAGTTTTAACTGAAATCTCACGATTTCTCTCCATTATACTACAAGCCCCTATCTACTTCTCCAACTCATACTTTTCAAACCAGTAATAGAAATTTGGAAGAGGAAAAAAATAAAGTCTTTTCTAAGAATAAAATAATCTTGTTATTGGTGGATATTCAATATAGGGGGGGGGAAAAAAATCACACCATTTTCCAGTACAGTGAGTCCCTGAGTTCTGATAATGTGCTGGACATCTTTAATGTGATGTACATTTACCCTTAGAAATGACTGAACCTATCTGTACCACTGGTACAGATAGGAACTGAAAATACAGGGAATCCAGGACGGATGAGCCCTATAGGACCAGTGGTGTGAGTGGCAAAACAGGGAGGGTAAAGGGAGAATGGGTAGGAAAGAGGGAACCAATTACATGGAACTGTGTGTGACCTCCTCCCTGGGGGACAGACTACTGAAAGGTGGGTGAAGGGAGACGTCGGATAGGGCAAGATACGACAAAATACCCAATTATAAACTATCAAGGGCTCATGAGGGAGGGGAAAAATGAGGACCTAATGTCGGGGGTTTAAGTGGAGAGAAGGTGTTTTGAGAATGATGTACAAATGCGCTTTACACAATTGATGTGTGTATGGATTGCGATAACAGTTGTATGAGCCCCTAAAATGCCAAAATAAATAAATTAAAAAAAACAAAACAAAAAAAAAAAAAGAAAAAGAAAACATCCTAGCCCAGTCCAAAAAAAGAGAAAAGAAATGACTGAACCAACCCCTATTGAACCAACTCTTAACTCAACAAATTCTTCATCACAATCACCTGTATTTGCTGCATGCTCAACTTTTAAATCACTGGAAAGGAGTCCAGCCTTTTCTTACACTAAAGTAAGACTAAGGAAAACATATGCACCTGTTTCCACTTACCTACAAACTCAAAGACACACTTGGGAAAGGGCCCTCCTTTGTAGCCCAGGGGACTGCCTACATACTAAAAAGGAAGACTGGAAATCTTGAGCTATCAGTTTCTTACCATCCTCTAAAACCCTCAATTTGATATCATAGTTTTCCTGTTAAGGTAATATATTTTTAAAATAATGCAACTTCTTTGGTTCTCTCAGGTTTACCTTTAAGATTATTTATATTTATTAAACAAATAATATCTCCCAAAACACTCTTTTTAGATGTGGTCAGATGTAATTTACTTAAAACTTCTAGAAATTGTGATAAACTATTAATATATAACTAGTCTTCTGAAATAATCATGAAAAAGTAAATTTTTATTTTCATATGTTTGAAATATCAAATGGGCTAATGTTAAATGGTTGCTATGGATTGCAATGAGTCAGAACTGACTCAATGCAGTGGGTTTGGGATCTCAAAGAAAAAACTTTAAAAAAAATGAATGCTGAAATTACTTCTAATATCCTATGCATATTTAAATGTTACAAGGAGCAAAATCAGCAGACCATTTTTCTATACATTCTCTATTTACTAACATGCTTTTCTGATGTATTATATACTTTACTATTAAAATGAAAAGAACATGGGAAAAGGTGACAGGGTTTTATTATAATATTGTTTAACTATCATATGATATGGTTTCACAGTTTGCGGGAAAATGAAATCAAAAGACACAAGTATCTTTCCATGATACTGAAATTCTCCATGAATTTTTTGAAGCCCTCTCTTATATTTCCAAGCACGATTTTCCTTCTGTTAATGAAATGGAACCATGAGCTACCGCTGGCTATTAAAAACCCATTATTGTTAAGTTGATTCCACATACAGGAACTAAAGAAATGTGACAACTCATAAGATATGTAGAAGAACTCTGAAAACAATAAAAACACTATCATAAGTGCAATATGCAAAATTGTTAGGAGTTAAATTCCAGTGTATTTCAGAGCTTTTTGTGTACTCACAGGAAAACAAAAGTTGAGCTCAAAGTAACTTATAGCATGTCAAATATAAATTGTTACTGTTATTATCAACAGTAAACATTAAGAGATATATTTGGGCAGGCTTCAAAAAGTTCATGGAAAGACTCCATTATCTTTCAATTTCATTTTCCACTATTTTGAAGAACTCATACATATATGTGTGTAATTCTCATTTAAGGGAATTATAGTGATGTCTGCAGTTTTCAGATGCATCAAAAATGACAGATATATTTTCCCCTGAAAATTTTTTAAATTTATAAATAATTTTATTGGGGGCTCTTACAGCTCTTGTAACAATTCACACATCAACTGTATCAAGCACCCTTGTACATATGTTGCCATCATAATTTTCTTTCAAGTTGAGGCCTTGGTATCAGTTCATTTTTTCCCTCCCACCCTCGTGAACCCTTTATAAATTATTATTACGTTCATATCTTACACTCATGTTTCTGTTGTTCATACCCCTGGGGGGAAAGGGGTTATACATCAATCATTACGATTGGTTTCCCATTTCTCCCCCTTCTCCTCCCACCTTCCCCCAATCCTCATGGTATTGCTACTCCCATTACTATTCCTGAGGGGTTTATCTGTCCTGGATTCCACATGTCAAAAGCTCTATCTATACCAATATACGTATTCCAATCTAGCCGGATTTGTAAGGCAGAACTGTTGTCATGATAGTGGGGGGAAGGAAGCATGAAAGAACTAGAAAAATGGGTGTTTCTTTGATGGTACCATGCACCCTCACTGACTCAGTCCTTCCTTGTGATGCTTCTATGAGGGGATTGTCTATGGATGGGCTTTGGGTCTCCACCTTGACTCCCCCTTGTTCCCATTGATATAATTGTTCGCTTTCAATATTGTGACATTTGACATATGATCCTGTCGACACCTTGTGATCACACAGGCTGGTGTGCTTCTTCCATGTGGGCTTTTTGCTTCCCTGCTAGATGGCCGCTTGTTTAATTTCAAGCCTTTAAGAACCCAGACACCATCTTTTAATAGCCAGACACCATCATTTTCTTCACCACATTAGCTGCTGATGCACCCATTTTGTCTTCAGCCATCATGTCGGAAAGGTGAGCATCACAGAATGTCGGGTTATTAGAACAAAGTGTTCTTTGTATTGAAGGAGTGCTTGAGTAGAGGCCTAAATTCTGCCTGCTACCTTAATAGTTAACATATAAATATATGTACATAGATCTATACCCTATCATTATATATTAATATATTTACATAGATGCATACCTATATATATACCTCTACAAATGGCTTTTGCCTCCTAGTTCTTTCCTCTATTTCCAAAAAAGTCAGATTTTTTACAATAAGAATGAGTTTTGTTGTTAGTTGACAGACTCCTGCAACCTCATGTACCACAGGGCAGAACTGTTACATGGGGAATTATATATCCATTTTTCATAGAACATGTTTCATAAAACCAGCACTTTTCTAACAAAAACACCAGAAAAAATCACTTTCTTTACAAGATAAATTACTTGAAAACTATAAATATGAACTCAATATTTGAGTAACAAATACAACTAGTAATAGGAAGTTCAAACTGAATAAAACAAAATCATTTTCTTATGGTATAAAAAGAAATTAAACAAATGTGCTGGATAAAATGGATGTATGTATAGATTGTGATACAAGTTGTACGAGCCCCCAATAAAATGATTTCTTAAAAAAGAAAGTAATTCAAAAGAACCTAGAAAATAAAAACTCATGAAAATTCCTAGATCCCTGAAAACACATAAAAAGCCATTAATTTCCCCAATCAGGTAAAATAAGCTTGGTTATATCTCATTTTGAAGGTGTCCAGTAATTACCCAAATATCAGATATATTTGCTATTTTCATTCTCTCTTTGCTTTTTAAATACATGTTTTAGTCCAATAGGCAGAGTTCTACCTTAGTGAGTGAGCTAAAGTTAATGTAAGTTTTGCACTATTTTCAACCCATATTTTTTATATGAATAGTGTCAAGTCACTTAAATTTTTAAACTATACAAGGGAATGGTCTAAAAAGCTGTCTTTGACATGTGTACTTTCCTTTTCTCAACAGTGCTTTAAATTCTAGATCATTAACTAAATTACACTATCAATAAGTCCCATATGTGCCATGGAGATAAAATATTCTCCAATAAAATGATAAAGTAGACCAGGAATATATATAAACTTTAGATATGCAAATAGAATTCGAGCTTGAACTTAACCCAAACCCTAATCTATGGACAGTTAGTTCTTACTACATGTCCCTGATCAATGTTTACCCTCTCTTCATGAGCACCCATCACTGAAGATATGGGTGCTATAGCAAAGTGTGAAGAAATCAGATGGTGTTCAACTACCAGAAAGATGAGAATCTGGGTTCTTAAAAGCTTGTCTTAAAACAAGCAGCCATCTAAGTGAGGTGTTAGCTGAGTGCACACATGGAAGATCAACAGCCTATGTGATCCAAGGATTATAAATAATAAATTACAAGACCTGAGGAGGAAACAGTATTAGAGCTTAAATTCTGAGCACCCAGATTGCAGAAGGCAATTGACAGTGAAAGCCCAAAATCCATTTGCAGAGTGCCCACATGAAGAATGAAGCTTCAGGAAAATTGCCTCTTACCACGGACCAGGGCTGCGAATTGCCTTGCTCTCAGATGTTGAAAAGTGGATTAATGTAGGTGTAGTGAAGTTAAAATTCAACAGTTTATCATTTGTTCTCTCTTTTGACCCGTTTTAAATTCATTCTAGTTTTCACCATTTTCTGCTTCTTTTAAGGTTTTTCTATATTCTATGTTGTTATTATTGTGGGTGGGGGTGCAGAGGTGAGTTGACTTTCTTTATATGAAATCCAGGATAGATCAATATACAGAGGCAGTAATAGCTAAGAGTTTCTATGGTTATTACAGGGGAGGTTGGGGGAAATGGGGAGCTAATAATAATGTGTACAAGAATAAAGAAAATGTCCTAAAACTGATTGTGGCGGTGAATGCACAACTCTTTTTAATATGCTTAAATCACTGAATTGTATAGTATGTGAATTATATGTCAATAAAACTATTTATAAATTTTTAAAAATAATAATAATTCTATTTGTCCTTTCTTAAGCTCTCTGAAAGAAATGCAACTAAATAGACCTATGGGTCCAAATTCTAAAATACAAGTAGGGTAAAAAGTTTTGAACATGTGAGTCTGGCTCTGTTCTTAGTAGAAATCACCTACCTACAAAGGTATGAAAAATGCAAGAAAAGAAAGATACAACATTAATACCTACAGCATTCTAACTTTCAAGTAGAATAAAAACATTTACATACCTAATATTATTTTTAAGAATTTTCAAGCAACTGAAGCATTTAAAGGTTGTGTGAGTCTTCTGTTCTTCCTGGACATCTCCTTCATGTTTTCCATAATAAAAGTCATTAACTAACATGATCAATTTTCCTTTCTCTGAATCAATAGTTGTATTTGTATTTGTTGTACTTGAAAATTCTGTTTTAGCCAATCCCAAAAAGTTATTTATCATGTCTGGGCAACAATACTGAAAGAGAAAAAAATAAGAGCCTTATTTATCTCTTAAAAAAATATTATCACAAAAATGGTTCAGTGTTTACAACTAAGACCAGACCACGTACAACTATGTTTGGTAATGAACCTGGAAAAATATTCACCAAAAAGCCGTGACTACATGTATTCTAAAAATTCAAACAGTATAAACCTATCACCTTAATAAACAAAACCAATAAAAAATATTTTATAAAACCTTAGGACCATTTATCTTAGGAATCAGTATGTCACACAAATTGGTCAAAATGATATAATTTATTTACTATCTATCACATTCAGTTGTAGTATTTCTGTAAGTCACTACACTCAGGAAATCCTTCAGTTGAAAAACTAGAAGTGTTTGTTAAAATGCTAATTCCTGGGACCCAGAGTTCAGAGCAAGGTCTAGAGGTAGGGTCCATAAGTCTGCATTTATAACAGGTCACCCACGTAATTCTTTTACAAATTAAGTCAGTTAATAAATTATCTTTGAATGTGTTATTTTACAAATTAGTGGCAACATAACAAAATTGAAAATCTAATCACAACTGCATTCCATTCCTATAAGAACAATAGCCAGTTCCTAAACTGCCACATATAAAATGTTAGCTCACTGATGAAACTTTATGTACTAATTGGGTCTGTATAATACTAACAAAGTTTTATTTCTTTCCAGGTTACCATATACTTACTTAGTTTTTACATGTTAAAAAACACAAAAGGTAATCTAGATTACCTTTAGATCCAAAGGAAAGAAATTTGAATAAAAGAACACAAACCTTTCCCTCCCACAAATGAAAAAAAGACTTATATTTAGGAATTAAGACTGCAAATATACACCAAATTGGGATATATTCACTAGTTCTCTAATACTGTCATCTGATCTATATAAAATTGAAATAACACTAGACAAGAAAGACTTGATACGTTTCTAAATTCTTCTTGAATTACAGATAATATTTAAGACCTAAAAATTAGGAAAATCAGCTTATTTCTAAGGACAGGCTGAGTTCTTCCAATAACTATGATTTTTGACATTAAAGACAAATTGAGAAAATACAATGGCTCAGAGTAAAACAATAGTAAAATTAGAAAAATATCTCAAAATATACATCTTACTACCAATCTTATCTTCCAAGAAAGACCAATAGTATCATTTTGATGGTCACAATTACTCACTTTATCTGCAGCTTTCCTATCAGAAAGGTTCACTGAGGAAAGAAACAGTAACATAAAAAATTTTTTGTGATAGAGAATAGGATTCCTAACTTTAAAATACAGATAACCTTGCATTAAAACCCTTCATTACCATTTTTTTTTAACTTTGTAGGTATGTTTTTTCCTAATGAAACACAGGCCGATTCATTGCGTATTTAAAATTTTTTGGTTTTAGGTGCCATCAACTTAGTTCTGACTCATCCTGACCCTAAATACGATAGAACAAAGCACTGTCTGACCCTGTGCCATCCTCTCACAATCACGGCTATTTAAGCCCACTGCTGCAGCCACTGTGACAACCACCTTCTGAGGGTTTTCCTCTTTTATATGTGACCCTCTATTTTACCAAGCACAATCACCTTCTAGAGCAGCGGTTCTCAACCTGTGGGTCACGACGCTCTTGGTCGAATGACCCTTTCACAGGAGTCGCCCGATTCATAACGTAGCAAAATTGCAGTGATGAAGTAGCAACGAAAATAATTTTATGGTTGGAGGGGTCACCACCACATGAGGAACTGTATGAAAGGGACACGGCATTAGGAAGGTTGAGAACACTGTTCTAGAGGAATTAGTCCCTCCAAAGTGCATCAGCAGTCTTGTAATTTTTACTCCTCAAGGGCATTTTGGCCATACTTCTTTCAACAGATTTATTTGTTCTTGTGGTAGTCTGTAGTATATTTAAAATTTCTTGCCAACACCATAACTCAAGGATATCAATTTCTCTTCAGTTTTCCTTACTCAGTGTCTAGCTTTAGCATGCATATGAAGCAAGTGAAAACAACATGACTGGGGTCACGATCACCTTAGTCGTCAAAGTGTGCCACTGTCCCCAATTACATATGCCCTGTGATGTCCTTATTGCTGCTTTCACAGATGTTTGTTGTGGATATAAGTAAAATGAAATCCTTAACAACTTCAATAATTCTCCATTTATTGTGATGTTGCTTATTGCCCTGGTTGTAAGGATTTTGTTTTCTACTTCTTTCTTTTTTCGGCTTCCTTCTTCTTTCTAGTGAGGTGTAATCCATATTACAGGCTCTAGGCTTTCATTTTTATTAGTAAGTGCTTCGAGTCACTGCTTATAGCAAGCAAGGTTGTGTCTCCTGCATATCACAAGTTCATGAATCTTCCTCCAATCCTGCTGCATTATTACTCTTCACATATTAGTCAACTTCTCAGATTATTTGGTCAGCATACAGGTTGAATAAATATGGGGACAAGATACAAGCCCTCATACACCTTTCCTAACTTTACACCATACAGTAATCCCCTTTTTCTGTCCAAATAACTGACTCTTGGTCCATGTACAGGTTCTGTATGAGCATAATTTAGGGTTCTGATATCCACATGTTTTATAATATTACATGTAATTTGTTATCATTCAATAAAACAAATGTAAAAATCTTTCTGGTATACATTCAGGTAATATCAATCTGACATCAGCAATGGTTCTACAGCCTTTTCTGAAATCAGTTCGAGTTTCTGGCTGTTCCCGATCAAAGAATGGCTATAACTATTTTTAAATTACTTTAGCAAAATTGTAACCTTTGCATACTGTTGGATCACCTTTGGTATAGGCACACATATGAAACCTGTCAGTTTGTTTACATGTTGCTGTAATGTTAGAAGGTATTCTATCAATAATTCAAAGACTACCACGGTCATCCATGGCGGACAAGCTTTAGTGGAACAGCCAGACTAACATACGAGATGGAAGGACCTGACCTTTGAAAACTTTATGAATAACAGGAGAACTTTGTCTAGCACGGTTCTAGGTTAGAAGACTCCTCAAATATGACTGGGGAAGAGTTATCTATTCAAAGAGTTGATTTTAGTTTAAAATATGGATGGGGTAAAGCTTCTGAGACTTTCGGTTGCTGGTGTGGCATGATTCACCATGAGAAGAAAACAGCTACAAACATCCATTAATAATCACAACATGGAGAATATGACATACGAATCTAGGAAAATTGAAAGTTGTCAAAAATAAACTGAAATGCTTGAAGAGCGATCAATATGCATTAGTGAAATGAAGTGGACTGGCCATCTTGAATCAATCTATAGTCTACCCAACTAGAAATGACAAATTAAAGAGGAATGGTGTCAGTCATTGTCACAAGTTTCAAAAATGATCCTACATAAAATAACCTCTCAACACAGTAATATAGCACCAAAATATGTCCTTTTGTTTTATGATGTTACACAAGTCCTTACACTGTGACATAAACATGTATTATTCATGATGAAAAAGTCCTCAAGAAACTCCACGGGCAAATAATGTCTTATTTATGTGTACCCAGACAATGAAAGGATCAATTTGTGCTTTCACACTGCACAAGTTATTCTGAGTCATATTTGGGGCTTCATTCTTCTCATATCTATAATATAATCTAAACAATGATAGTGGAGTGGGATGAAAAATTTATATTCTCTAGAAATGGAGTCTAAATTCTTATACTACGAAAGTAAAAGGGGGAGGGAAGGAAAAAAATGGGGACCTGAAGCCAGGGGCTTAAGTGGAGAGCAAATGTTTTGAGAATGATGAGGGCAATGAATGTACAAATATACTTTACACAAGTTATTCTGAGTCATATTTGGGGCTTCATTCTTCTCATATCTATAATATAATCTAAACAATGATAGTAGAGTGGGCTGAAAAATTTATATTCTCTAGAAATGGAGTCTAAATTCTTATACTACGAAAGTAAAAGGGGGAGGGAAGGAAAAAAATGGGGACCTGAAGCCACGGGCTTAAGTGGAGAGCAAATGTTTTGAGAATGATGAGGGCAATGAATGTACAAATGTGCTTTACACA